AACAGGATGAGCGATGCTCCAAGCTGAAGATTTATCCCATCCTGCAGAAGGTTCTTTCCGTTGTTACCTACCATTATTTTCTCTAGTAGACAAACATACATTTATTGCATTTGGACATATAGTATCGTTCGAACTGGCATATTACTCATGTTTTAGCCTGCATGATGTTTCTTTGGTTTGATTTATAAACATATCAAAACAGTTTTCACCATAGCCTATAGAAATTTGGTTACAACTACATGCTAACTTTAATATTTTAATGTAAATTTCAAGGTGTATCTTGAAAGGATTTTGAGGAAACCAGAGATTGATGCTTTTGCAGAAGAACTTAGGCCACATCAGGTCTGGACCATTGCTAAGATTTAGATGCAGTATTTGCATATCATATTGACTAGTTTGATTCATGACAAGTTTCTTACTTTATTGGTTTTCAACAGAAAGCATATTTGCCTGACAAATCTACTGTTCTTGACCGTGCCATGATTGAGCATAATCTTCTAAGTGCAAGCAAACTTTACACAAACATAAGGTTTGAGATGTCGATGTTATTAGTATGTTTTGCCGTTTCTTCGTGTTTCTGAGAGTGATATGATTTTCTAAACTTAATTTTTTAAATATATTATTGTATCTTAGGTTTGATGAATTGGGAACTCTGCTGGGGATTGATCCAAGAAAGGTAATATTCAAAATCAATATGTGAACTGCGTTTATCGTATGATTTTAGAGACAAATTTTTGGATGAGTGCTCAATGCATAAGTCTTGTTCTTGTAGGCGGAGAAGATAGCAGCGAATATGATTGGCCAGGACAGAATGAGGGGTTCCATAGATCAGGTAAGMAATGACAATTGCTTTCCTTGTTTGGGTTATTATGCGATACCCTAAGAGAATTTTTGGTAGTGTTTATTGTTAAGAAGGTTGTTAGATGTGTTTTGATCTTGTCATGCTATATTACTATTCAGGAGGAGGCTGTGATACATTTTGAGGATGACATTGAGGAGCTACAACAATGGGATCAACAGATATCGGGATTATGCCAAGCTCTCAATGATATTCTGGATGGCATGGCGAAGAAAGGCTTGCCTGTTCCTGTCTGATTAATTCCAAGTCGTGAGACTCGCCTCGTGAATGATTAAATATTAGCCGCCGATCCTACTTAGTTGAGAGTCTCATGGCTAAGTTTTTGCGAAATCGCTGTTTTTTTTGGAACATTCAATTTCATCTCATTTGGCTTTTTGCAAATTCATGTCTATGCCTTTAGGTTAAACTGATACAAAGAGGGAAAGATTTGGCATTGGATGAGGATTTTAAGAAACAGTTGCAGATTTTAATATCTCTATAAAGGAAATTTCAGGGTACATTTTTTTTTTACCTCAGGAGAAGTTATTTTATGGATTTGACATAGTACTTCGTTTCTGCAGCCTGATGATGTTCCCGATTTAATTTTACGTTTAGGCTTTGCTTCTAAGAGCATGTGCAGCGGCAGAATTTCTAAAG